AAAAAAAAGATCACTAGATTTAGACGACTGAATGATGTAAATGATGAGCGTAAGACATGGGAAATATCCTGACTTTCCTACAAAATCATAGCATTGAAATAAATCCACGAAAGGTAGATCTTAAATTTACCAGAAATAGAATTTGTCTGTTTACCTCATAACATCCATATTCTTCCATTTTCTCCTTTGTATTTTATCAACCCCATTCACATCTCATCATATTTGAACGTAGGTACAATACCTGTCATTGCACTATACGAAAAAGAAAAGTCTGAAAAGTCGGTAGTCTCAAAGGTGACTAAAAATTAGTCATCTGGTAGCTAATTTGAGGACGAAGACACAGTTCGTTGAAAAATTAGTTAGTTATACCCCGGGGGCTATATTGTCCAACTTTTGTGTGTTTGTGGGTTTTGTGTGTTGTGTGTTGTCCAACGAAATTTGCATAGGAATTCAAGGTTTAGGAATAATCAAATAATTCCGAGTAAATTTTCTGCTCAAAAGTAATCTCCTAATCCTTATCTCTTTTGCAATACAATCGAAAGGGTTTATTTGGAATCTAGAATTTCATGTATAACAAAATTAATTTAACAGAATTGTAGTAACGATTTCATATTTATCCCAGAATAATTCTTCCTAGATTTTAATAGGTGATTAATTTGGAATTGACAAATATGAAGCTGATTCCTTATGAGACTCACAGTTGAGTATTGTTGGTTAATCTAATCCTTAGGTATGGAGAGGTGTGGATCCTTCTGTGACAATCATTCTTCTTCACCAGAATAAGAGGGTCTGATCCTATTACGCGTATTTTTTATCGCGCCACGTTTACCCACTCACTTATAATTATAAACAAAGTTGGAAGAGTTTGAGAATGTCCACAATTACGGAAGCTGATTAATTAGTTCTTTTAAAATGCAAGACACACTCCTACTTTCGATTCAAGGATACAGTATCCCTGTATATACTCCCGGCCGTTTAGCTATTTACTATTATTCAATAGGTTACCGCGCATTATATCGTCTCTCTCGCGAATTATGGTATGAGAGGACCGAAAGAGATAGATCGATTTCGAAAAGTAACATCCACTAAGTCAAATTATCGCTCCAACGGTTGCTTCTGAACTTGTAATTTGGATTTCGAGGAACGAATCGGTTCGTAGTTGTTACACGAATCGATTTTCGATTGGTGAAAATTATGGCGTGATTTCTCGACTTCTTATTTTTGGGATGTGATCTGTCCATTCAACAATTTCAACAGCGCGGGAGTTCGCAGGTGAGGTCCACTGCTCTGACATGTGTCACTGTACCGCAAAGGCGAGTGCACTCACCTGTATCGTGCTATCTCTTTCTGATGATTTTGTATTTTTATTTCCGTGATGGCAAAATTGAACTGAAAATTCAACTGAATTTAATTGAAATTAGGATTTAGTATTTATTGGAGGTATTTACGTTAATTCATATTTAAGGAAAATGCAGGAAAAACGAATTATACAGATTTTTGGACATCACAGTGTGTCATTACAATATAGGATCCTTAAAATTTTTAAGAACATTTTTTCCGGGAATATTGAATTTCCGCGTTGCATTTGCTGTTTCTCCATGCCAATCCCACCTATATGGCAACTTGAATTCGCTGAAATACTTCTCACATTTTTCGTTTGGTTAACCAAATAAATAAAGTACTTGGTGAAGTATATTATTTTTTTATTCCAATTGAGGAATGATAAAAGTCTTGCTCTTTAAATATCAGGCTTTTAGCAGAAACAGTCGCAAGTAAATGGTATTATTGTGTTATAGACCCTGCGACATTACGCAGAAATGTGTGTCCATATACGTAAACAGCACGAATTATATTGAACGTGCGGTGGAATAGGATTGAACTGGAATTGCAGTGGAAAAAAAATCAACAGCATGCACTGTTGGCGACTCGTATAAGAATACGATTCTTTAATGCTGATAATTATCCACGTCCTAGAAATACTGCCGACATGAATCTCAGATATTAGCCTCAATGTGTCTTTTTACGCTGCTCTCAGAGCAGCGATTTATTTGAGTAAAACAAATAAGTTTATTTAAATAGTAAAAAGTCCAATGTGTTTCAAATTACAAATAAACTCCACCTTTGAATTAAATCAATTGAATCAATTGTGGCTTCGATGTTAATAAATATTTATTTTATGCTAGTCATTTAATGAAGGGAGCACCTTAAACTGTTTTAAAAAATAGAAAAACTCGACATTTTTTCATTCTCACTTCCTTTTGCTAGGCGCGGATGCATGAAATTGATTCTGTAATGCATTTATTGACTTCTAATTTTTTACTACTTCAGTAAATGGTAATTAATCTGTGATCTTTAGTTTCTAATCCTAAAATATTTTGATATCGATATTAATTATACTTCTGATGGATAGTGTTATTGTGAAGACAATTTTTCATAAATAAATGATGATTTATATGATTTTTTTATGCTATTGCAATCGACCTTCAATATCCCCGAGTGGAAATTAGTTCAGGTCTACTTGAAGTCCGATCAGAACTTGATTCAGTTTCAGTGCGGTTCGCTTGATCAGGTAAGATCTGATCAGAACCTGACCAAGGTTTTTTATCCAACGTTTCGGATCCTAAAAACTACAAGCGAATTTAGATCAAGTTCTGGTCAAACATGCCTGATCAGATGACACTTGATGAAAACTTGATCAAGTTTCGAGCCAGTATATTGGACCCTATAAACTACAAGTGGCTTTACATCAAGTTCTGGTCAAACATGCCTGATCAGATGACACTTGATGAAGTCCTGACCAAGTTTTGACCCAGCAAGTCAGATAAACATGATCTCACTCTGAGATCAAGCTGCCTCAACACAATTTGTTCTCCTTCCGATTCAATTCCCTTGATTTTCAATTGAATAGCTCGATAAAAAAGAATCACAAATGTATAGGAAGCAAGGGCAATATATATAGTGAAGTATCAAACATAAGAGCGCATTATCTTGAGTCTAAAAAAATCATCAAACTTGCATCTGTTCATTGTGTTATGATTATTATAATTATCTTTTAATAATGAAATAAAATTTGAACCGAATATGTTTTCTCGCTCAGAATGTACATGCAATAATTTCAAAGTCATCAAATACTCCCTTGCAGATTGTGTAGGTAAAAAGAATCTACTCAAAAACAATAGTGCGGTAGTGCAGTGGTTAGGGCGTAGGTTTAGTAATCGTAGGTTCCTCGGTTCGATCCCCAGCATTGTCAAAAATAATAGGGTTTTTTCATCGCTAATTACAATCGGGCTTCATTAAGAGCGGTCAGATATAATAAAAAAAATTAATTATCTTTTGTTTTAAGTGAGTTATGGTTAATATTTATTATTGTTTTCGATATTCCAGTCATCCGATTTAGATACATTTGACTTGATCAAATCCGGAACCGTTAAACCGGATCAGAAAAGTTTGATCAAGTCTTGATTTAAACTTGCGTTACATGTCTGATCAAAATTTGATCCAGTTACCGTGTCACTTCCGGATCAATCATCAAGTATGACCTGATCCAGTCTTGACTAGAACTTGACCAAAATTTCCACTCGGGTCCCCGCAGGAAAGAACTTCAAATGAGTATTATGAACATAACTTCAACTTGTTGGCCACTTTAGCAATAATAAGCAGTATACAAATTCTAGCATATATTGAGGTTACTAGATAATAAATAATAAATTGTTCTATGCAAACGTACAAAATGATATAACATCTGGAAAATAATTAACAGCGAGTATAAATTCAGCGCCACAGTCGATATGAGATTTCTAATGATAATGCATTGATAATTGAGATGAAAAATAATTTTACGACAAAACATTACACGGAGAGAAATATTTAGTAAAAATTACGGAACTTTCAGTACACTTACCGATTACGGAGTTGATTCGAAAAATTTAAGTGACGGTATCGTTATTTTTCACCGATAATTCAGATAAAAATTACGAAACACCGCGGAAAAATTCCGTGACAGTTCCGTAAAATTTCCGACAACCACATTTCGCTCCAGAATTACGGAAAATACACGTAATTTTTATTGAATATTTCTCTCAGTGTACAAATCGAAAAAGTAATATTAATTGAGTCGGAAGGTCCTAAAATGAATGAGAGAGGTGTATGGAGAGGTATGGATCCTTCTGTGACACAATCATTCTTCTTCACCAGAATAAGAGTGCCTGATCCTATTACGCGTACTTTTTATCGCGCCACGTTTACTCGCTTATAATTATAAACAAAGTTGGAAGAGTTTGAGAATGTCCACAATTGTCCACGGAAACTGATTAATTAGTTCTCTTAAAATGCAAGAAACACTTCTACTTTCTAATGAAAATGCATTGATAATTGAAATGAAAAATAATTTTACAACAAAACATTAAAAATCGAAAAAGTAATATTAATTGAGTCGGAAGGTTCTAAAATGAATGAGAGATCAAATTTCTTAGTGTGATGTGAGCTTCAAAACACGAACAATCTCTAATGACTTGATCAAAAATTGAATCAAATTATAGATAAATATTCCTATTCAATCCACTTTCAGTAGAAAAAAAATCAACCAAAGATAATTTTTCGAGTGAGCCATAAAAATTCAATTTTTGCCTAAAACTCCCGTTAGTCAATCCAGGCCCTTAATTCACCGGTAAATCACATGTCAATTCAATACATATCTAATAGGCTTTCTTATGAGCATAATATACGGTCCGTCAACTACAAGAAACTGTATTAGCGTTAAAATCCACAAAAAAAAGCAAGGCGCAATTTTTTCTTATAACTTAAATTCCTCCAGTTTTCTTGTGTTTAGAATGCCTACCTCATATATGTATAACTACTTATGCTTATATACAAATTCCAAAAATTGAACAACTTTATTCCTGTTTATTTCGATCTGAGCTGCCAATAATCTTCCTCCTTTTCCATATCAATATCTTTATTCTATATTTTTAAATTAATTTTAGGTTCCTTATTTGTTACAGAGGTTTACATCGAGGAATTAAATCAACAAAAATGACCGCAAATAGCCGATAAATGCCAAATAAGAGCAAAGGAAATTTTTTGCCAGTAATAGAATTTAGGAGGATCACTCATGTTCAAATAATTAGTAGAAAGAAACCGGATAAGAGAAAGAGGATGCGGCGTATCACGTTTCGCTAGTGAATAACGACGTATCTACGAAAAAGAACCTTCCAGTGTTTTGTGTACTCATTATTACTTAATATTTTCTTCAATCTACTATATGAGGTCGGTACATGGCCAATGGACAGAGTGGAAGGGGGAATATAAAAGTGTCTCAAACAGTATTGAGGTACTGCTGAAGCAGCAGCTGAAGTGGACGATGTGGAAGTATGAGTGAAACCCGTTGATCCATTAAAAGGACCAGCGGGGAGACCTGGTTTTATCCAGTGGTCTTCCTCCAATATTGGGCATTCCCAGAAGTTGTTGTGGCTAAAGTCCTGTGAACTACACGGGTGAATATGGCGAGGTGGAGACTCATCGCAACTTGTGCTACTATCATCGTTACTGTACTGATCAGTTGTATGAAAGCAGAACAAGGTAAATATCAATTTTACATTTAACCTTCAAGTTACGTAACTTACCGATATATGAACGTTGTTATAATCATTCCTAAATTTTTCCATGAAATTGTCACTCTGTTCGTCACTCGCTATTTCGAGATTGCCTGGAATTGGGATGAGTAAAATTTTATATAAATTTTATGTAATTTCCCGATATGAAATGTTTGTTTTTGTCCAGGCTGTTCTGAGAAATACAATAGAAATGTCCACAAATTTCCTCAGATGTCCCACTATTCAAGAACAGAATGAATCTGAAGTGAAAAAGTTAGTTGGTTGCAAACGAAGGCTCATCGCCAAATTTCTCGAGAATTATCGATAAATTCCTCCCCAATACTTTTTATTGAGTACTGAGCAGTAATTAGGATTCTTTCCCCTAACTTTAGTCTCTACACGTAATGTATTTGCCGAAACTTAAGGGGTGTAGTCTCTAACTTACGCAGTATTTCAACTACTGGGAAGAAACTAATTCTTACGGTTTGGCGAATAGGAGTATTCGGTCTAATTTGCTCTCCTTTTCTCTTATTCACTCGGCGATGTAAAAAAATCACTTAACGTATTAATTCGTTTGTTAAAGGAAAATAAATATCTTTGAACGTTAATGTTCAAATAACTAAGATTCGTCAGAAACGTATAGAGATTCATCATTCTGCTTAATAGTGATTTTTTCACAATTTTGGTTGAAACTTTTTGAAAAATGTGGAACAAATTGTCTCCGAAAGTTATAGTCAAACAAATTATAGAATAATTTGAAAAACCGAGATTTATTATATCCCACGAGAAAGTATCTACTGGGTTATCTGGCGAAACATCCAAAGAATGTGAAAGATTTTTTAGTAAAAGTTCCCGGCCGAACAAAAAAATCCTTGGCAATAGAATGGAAAGATTGAATTCTCAAATGTCGAGTGGTTAGAATTTATCCAAGACAGTTGCAAACTCGATTACCTCCATGAAGGTGAAAATTCTTGTTCCAATACTGACTGTCTGGTGTTTGGTATACTCTTTTCCCTTCTGGTGGCCCAGCTGGAACAGTGCAGGCGTCTACGATTAATCCTGTCCTCTTACTTGCTCCTTTAATATTTATTCATCTTTTCGCATTTTATCTTTCTCTATTCAAAGCACCATACTGGGGGACTCCGCTATATTCCATTCTCTGATTCTGTTTTTCTCTCGATCAGTTGGTTCTTTCTCCCAGATCTCAAGATACTTTTTTTTCCATCCTTCAACATATCTTCCCTGAGTATAACTGAGAAAACGTGGCAACGCTGTAGGAATGCCCTCACATAGTTAGCCCCACGCATACCTACAATCCAGGTAAACTACACTAATCCCCTCCCTTCACTCACCAGTTCCATGGAGTTTGCCAACGCCTTTGTGTATATCCATGCCAATATCGTCACAAAGCATCTGAAAATTTCACCCACAAAAAGTCAACATTTTTTAATTAGAGATTCGAGCTGACGTCACCAATGGGAAATATTCAGATCATAAAAATATGATCGTAAGGCCATTCATTCAGAACAATTCGGTAATAATACTCGGGGAGGATTCATTCCAGCTCAATAACACTGTTTGATGATCTTATGTGCCATCATGCTTCTCTATTTTCTTCTCCATAGTCATTTCTTCAAACTGTTTCATAGTCAGCTCAAACAGAACTCTGTGAATAACCTTCTTCCTATCTCTCGCATCTAATCATATGTTAATTATAGGTATTTATATTTATCTGCTTTTTTTCTATTTTCCTCTTTGTTTTTCACTTTCTGCACTTCAAACTTCAAATTATCCGTACGGATCTGAATAATCGTGAAAATCATGGCAGTGCACCCAAGAATTTCCCACAATTTTCAATCTATTAAACATTAAATTTCATTTCATATTTAATTCTCACACTGAGTCTGAAAATTCAAGTATTTAGTTAATAATAAGCCATCATTTAACATGAAAAACGTAATGCTCTCGAATTTTCAAGAAGAATGAAAAAAAGATCACGAACAGTTCCAATGGTAAATAAGTTTAAGGATGTTCTGCCAGTATTTTGTTATTTTTTCTATTTTTCTGTGATTTATTGAAACCTATCGATCGGATTAGGATATGAAAATACAGCGTTTGTCCGTTACATCATGATTCATCCTTTCACAAAGTTCCATCCCGATACACCAGTTCTTATAACTTTTCCATAAAATTTATTGATTTTTTATTAAATTTTAGTGAAAAGCTAAAAAATTGGTGTATCAGGATAAAATCTCATGAAAGAGTCAATTATGATCGAACGGACAAACGCTATATTTTCATATCCAAATCCGATCAATAGTTTTCAATAAATTTCCAAAAACAGGAACAATAACAAAATACCAGCAAAACATCCTTAAACTTGCATAATTGAAAATTCAGATTACATGATAATTGAAAATTCAACAAATTTCCAACAGTGTAATTACTAAAATGAAACAAATAGTTATACAAATATAACAAAGTGTAACAGGAACATATCTTTTGACACGTTATGAAAGCTTTCCATGTATTCATCAGTCTAAAATAAACAAGTTTGACGAATTATGCATTTATCTCACCAATGAATGATTCTAGAATAAATTGGCAAAGAACTGTGTTAGGAGGAACTGGGCTGTTTGAGTATCGCCGGGAATCGTATGGGATATTCGTCGGATAGAGATGGACTGGAAAGGCATGAGAAATTTTGACATCAAGCGTTGTCAATGTATTAATGTATCAGGTTATCAAATTACAATATTTACACTGGTTGGATAATTGTCTGAAATTTGTTGAATGTCTCTCCGCCAGATTGACACTTTGATAAGCTGGACGATTATTAGATAACTGGTGTTAACTGATGAGAAACCTATAAATTGAATCAAATGGCGTGGTCAATGACCTTGGTGATGACCATGTTATTTGGACTATACTAATTTCGTGTTCGTTTACTAGGACATCTGAGCGACTACTACTAACGATACTATCTTCCCCGTTGGGCATCCAAGACAATACTCTCATTCTTTTCTTTTATCTCAATACCAATAACCATTGATTTGAGTAGTCCCTGTTCCTACCGAGCACCTCCACTTTGTCATAGGAAAAATTGTCTTAGAATAGTTGTTCAAAACCAATTATTGGTTATTATTATTAAGTGAGTAATTGCAAAAATCAAACATCTAAATAACCACTTGCAATCATTTAATAAATATTAATAACTATTTGAGCTGTATAATAGTCTCACGGAGAGACATTCAAAGCAATAATTATCCTGATGTTCAAACAAATTTATCCGAATGGAAGGATAATTCTGTAGCAGTATATTTCTTGAGTAAAAAGTATCCTTAGTGTAGATAATTTTTCATGAACGTTTCCGGATGATATTTGTTCTTATCTCAAATCAGTAAAAAATGCCAGTATGCACGGATAAAAATTATTACATGTGTTATTCTTTGCAATATCTGAATAAAAATTATTACGTGTCTGCTAATTTTTACCAATAACTGTATAAAAAAAAATTGGATAAAACATATATCTCAATCGATCAATATTCGGTCAAGTTTTGAAGTTTTCGAGAATTTTCACCAAATTTTGCGATTCGAAACATTGTCAATGCAAGATTTCAAATTGAACGATCGAGATACGCGGTAGCGTATCGGCCAAGTAAAAGTTTCGTCTCTATCCAACAAATAAGGCCGAGAGCTACAGTGTATCTATACACGACACAACTACCCCTTCCACTACCTCCTAATCGTATTCAATCCATAAAATACAAACGCTACAAGTTACATGAAATCTGTGCATAGTTACATTATACAAATCGCCCTCAAGCTTTTCATTGATATAAGTTTTCCTTTTTTTCGATTAATGTTGGCAAAAATACGCTCATGGCAACGGGATCATTTCAATATTTTACCGGTTTCTATTATCTTTCGGTTGCATTGAAGTCACCAAGTTGGCAGCAGGTCGATCCAACCTAACCTGGGCCAAATTTGGCTTTGAGATGTTGCCATCTGTGTATTCAAACCGTTGAATCGCAGAAGGGAAACAGAGGAGAATGTTTTATTTTTTCCCTTGAATTTTATATTTTTTATTTATTTCCATAATTATAATTGTTAACTAGAATATGCTGTAAAAATTATATGCAGTTCTTGAAAAATCCGTGAAATCCCCCGAAATGACAAAAACTGGTGTTTTTGTAAAAAAAACTCAGCCAAGTAAAAGTTTCGCACAATTGATTCCGTGAAAAACTCGTGTTTTGCCAAAATATGGTATTCCAAGATATTAAAAAAACTCAGAAAATGTAAATGAAAATGCCAAGAAAAGCGATACGAGTCGATAGAAAGGATTCAATAATGAAAATTAAAAAATCAGTAGAGACAGGACCAATTTACTTGGCGCGATTTTATTTACAGGATAATGCTAAAATGCAATTTGATTAATAACTAAAAGTGACTGAAGATAGTCTTTGGCTCTAGCTCTAGTTCTTAGGAAAAACCGCACCAAGTAAGTTGGTTCTGTCTCTACTGATTTTTATATTTTCATTCTTGAATCCTTTCTATCGACTCGTATCGCTTTTCTTGGCATTTTCATTTACATTTTCTGAGTTTTTTTTAATATCTTCGAATGCCATATTTTGGCAAAACACGAGTTTTTCACGGAATCAATTGTGCGAAACTTTTATTTGACTGAGTTTTTTTTTTAGAAAAACACCAGTATTTGTCATTTTGATTTTCCAAGAATTGAGAGTACATACAAACATTTGAACACTTTCTCTGACCGTTTGGAAGCATACCATCAATTCGTTGATGGCGATTGAAAGATTGCAAAAATCACTGAAGGACATGCTCCTCACTATCACGTCCTCGTTGTCATATGCTCATAATCTCTGCTTGTTTTGTTATTAGAAGGAAAGAACAATTGACAATTGCTCATACAAATTTTCCGCATTTGATTGCTGATTCATTCGATTTTTGAGGATAAATCGCT